GCAATTCCCTTGCCCGTAATGCGGGTTATGTGAGTGTTCTGGTCCACGTATGTGGGCGTGGGTTCGAATCCCACTCTTGACACCATTTTTTTCTTTTTTTTATCCATTTCTTTTTCTTTTTTTTTCTTTTAGGCAAAGACAACTTATCAAAAAGCCATGATCCAACTAACAGAAGAGAGGCAGCAACACGAAGTAGCAATCACCGAATACAAGCAGGTTGGTAGCACCTGGCTTTGTTATTTTTATTTGAATTAATGATCAACTTGATAGCTACATAAGCAGTTGGATGAGGGCCATCAAAAACAGAAGGAAGAGCTACATCAAGAACTACTGGAAGTCAAAGTAAAGATAAAATTTAGTAACTGATATGAAGTAAAACTTATTCTTTTTGGCCTCTCTCTCCCTCCACCCTCTCTCTCCCTCCCCATCTTCCTCTCTCCCTCCCCCTCTCTCTCTCAGGCTAAACTTGGCAGCCCTGGTTCAGAATCCTCCACTTCTGATCATCTCTCCTCATTATCCTCAGAGCAAAGACTAAGACAAGTAGAACTAGAACTAGCACAAACTAAACTCGCACTGGTAGAGGCCCAATGCAAAAACCAGGAACTAGAACATAAAATCGCTGAACTAAACAACGAACTATCATCAAAAGGAAAAGCATCGTCTTGGCTCTCTAGATTTAACTAGTGACGCGTGCGTGCGTGTTTTACCTTATTATTATTATTTGTTGTTATTATTATTATTATTGTTTGTTTGTTGTTGTTTATCGGCTGTGTTTGTGTATGATTTTAGTAATTATTACAACCATAAGGTGCATCATTACTGATGTTATTGTTAGAGAAAGAAATTTTCACACACACACGCATGTACATACACATAATGTAGTAAAACCATGTACATGTACATCTGTACAGTTTATGCATGACTATGCATGTAAACAGCTGTCAATTTAATATTTAAAATAATACTTTAATTCTATTTGCACACACATTGATTACTCTAGAGCTTCTGTGTTATAAAAGTGAGTACTATTGTATTGTATCGTAGTGATAGAATGATAGTGTCATTGTTATTGTTATTCCTTGGCACTCCTCCTTCTATTTCTCAGAATATTCATACTCTTCCCCCGATGCTGTAGCTAAAAATAGTAACACTGGACAAACAATATCTGGCATTGTTTCTCATACACCTCCTCCCTCCCTCCACTGACTGCGAAGCTTCATTAAAGTTGTGTACTGTTTTCAAGGATTGGGAAAACACCGTCATTAATTCCATGTAGTGGGAGTATTATTGCTTACTACTAATCTTTCGGTAAAGAGCCACTTAAGCAAACATCGAAAGCAGACAGTCCACCAGGGGAACCACCTTATTATACTAAGAAGTGACAGAAAAGGGACAGTTATACTCATAATTGTAGCCTTTGAGTAGTAGCTTTTAGTCTATAAGCTACTTATTCATTGGATTAAAACTTCTCTAAAAGGAAAGAGGGGGTTTTTGTCTTCTTATAACTAGTATTTAGACTGCAGCTTTTACTGAATTGTTCATACATTTAGTCATAAAGGATAAACTTAGTATATCTACCTATCTTTCTACCTCAATCTCTGAGCAATGACTGACATTTGGCCAACTGCTTTTATTGATATTACAGTGAATAATGGATTGCTTCCAAAAGCGGGAGACGATCGAAAAGCAGCTGCTAAAGAGGATTATTCAAAGAATCTTGTAACAGCTATCAAGCAACTAGTGCCACATCTTCACGAGGTAATGAGCATCTAGTATGTTGTAATAGGTGTGCATTTTAGAAGTAGTATAGAAGAGAATCAATATCACTGCATGCTAATGCATTATTGTGCCAATTCTGTTTCTTGTTGAAGTTCAAAGAACATTACCCTGGGCTATTTCAGGCAACAAAGCTATGCAAGTACTGTCTATAGTAGTACTGAGATTAAAGGCTCTAAAGTTACTGCATATGATTTGTCATTGGAATCTCTTGCATGGCATGATAAAGTTTTATCTTATGTATGTATGATGCTGTAATCTCTCTCTCTCTTTTTCTCCCAATAGAAAACCACAGGGCAATGTCGCATTATGCTAAAAGAGGTCTCATTCAGTGATTGCTGTGTTGCTGATGTGACTCGATTCACTCCAAAGCCTCACTCTCATCCTTACGATGGTGATACCAATCCTCACGATGCAGTCATCATTAGCATCGTTGCACCGCGTAAAGATAAGAATAACCATGGCCTCACGGTAAATGATGTGCAGCATATTGGAGACTCCATTAAAGACTTACTACAGAAGGAGCCATACAAGATTGACAGGAAGTAAGAGCTTGT